TAGTAAAAAAAAAAAAAAAAAGAAAGAAATTTCATTATGATCACAAAAATCTGCTGGTGACATCTTGAAGTTTTCACTTGGATAGATAATGTGCGCCAGTTATTAGAGCGAATTACTTCCAACTAGTAAAATATATTATGACAAATCATTCTGTATTATTGTATTTTTAAATTATTTCATGATAAATACTGCCATTGAAGTTGAATTTTTATAAAGATTATTGAGTAAAATTGATGATTGATGAGAACTGTTTTATGAGATTACATAATCTTTAAATGCAATTTTATACTCTAAGTTAATATTAAAAGCTAACATTATTCTTATCTGGGTTAATTAAGCAAGCCTACCTGTTAGTCCTTGTGTTATCCCACCACAATACACTGTACAATTAGTTGGGCTTGACTGGTTATAAACTTCATCAAATGTTAATGGCTTCACATTTGCTATAAAATGAAAGTTAAAAAAAAAAAAAAAAAAATTAGAAGGTAATGGTAAAACGAAATTAACCATATTATAAATCATGGTAAATTATCTTCAAATTTTTAAATAATAGCTTAGAAATATATCAAAGATAAAGTAAATTTATGTAATTATTTATTTAGTTTTTGAATAGGGTATTCTATTAAATAATTTCACATTTTGTTTTAAAATAAATTAATCTGGTTCCTAATCCTCTCTTAATAGAAAAATATTTCAAAATGTTTATTCNAAATAGAAATTTTATATATAAAATTAATAGAATTCAATTAGCTAAATGAAAAGAAAAAAAAATGCGGTATTTTAGGCAACGTTTGAGAATACAAAACAGTTCTTTATGTGGGCTAATTACTTTTTACATCTTTTATGGTACACGATACAAGCTCATATAATAAACTAAAACACGAAAACTAATATATTAATGTAGGAAAAGTTTTATTTTTATAATATTTTGATCGTAAAGATTTGAAATCTACAAACACACCATCAATCAAATGATAATGAAAACAGATAATTAACATGTATTGAATTTTTAAAAGCGTTTCATTCTCTTTCGTGTAATTGCTAAACAATCAAAATTTTATAATAAAATTTATGAAACCTACCCTATAAATTATGTATCTATATTTATATATTTATATACAAATGCGATTTTTAATTGTTTTTATTTTTTACACCAATACAATATATTAAGATACGAGAAACAACTTTATGTGAAATTAAAACATATCAACAAATAGTATAGTAGAATTTTTTTTTTTTTTTTTGTACTTCTCACTAACTACACAGAACATAAAACAGGTTGATAAGTTCTTAAAAAAGAAGAATGAAGCAATTTCATTAACTGAGCTTTCGACTGGACACGGACACAGACACAGTAATGAAATTGTCATCCGCTATCTGACGAGTGATGCTGCAAATCTTTTTATAACCATCACCCGATAATATGATTATTTGATCTAATAAACTATTTAATAAATTAGAGAAATTTTCTTAAATCTCATTTCCACCAACAGAAATAAAATAATAATAAAAAAATACATTCGATAATTAAAGAATGTATAAAGAAACACAAGACACTCACTTCCATTGTGAACTTGTTTATAAACAAATTTCCAATCAATTATCCCCTTTTTAATTAGAAAGGATTTGGGGAAAAAATAATGAAATCCATATAATAAATTTTTATAATTTCTTATATTTTGTGTGTATAAAAATTTGAATATGAAATTTTTATGGGAGAATCTACCAGTGAATAATTAGTTTGAAGTTAACTTATTAGCGTGATAATTCATTTTTGTGAGAAAAAGTTTTCTTATTAATTAAATCTTATTATTATCCAATATGTTATTCTTTTCAGATAAGAAATGGTTTGTCGCCTTCATTTAGATAAGAAATGATCTCTACTTAAACCGTTTTGATGGATGGAGTGCAGCAGTATGGCTTCATGCCAAGGTGCAGTTCGGTTATAGGAGACAAAGTGTGCCTGTCAAAACGACACAAACACGAATTGACCAAAGTTACGATAAAATAATTGGAAACTACTGAGATTCTCTTTAATATTCGCTAGTGATTTTTATATAGTATAAGTTACTTACGTATTAATTATTGAAAAAAAAGGGGGACGGGTAAGTACCCATTTAATATAAAATTGAAAGTTTTCGTCTTGTGTAAAATACCAATTTAAATTCATCATACATTAACCGGATAATGGGCGATATTTAACCACGTTGTTGGATAGGTGTGGCAGTGTTTTAAATCAATTTTAATAAATAAAGTATACACATTTCGCTCCAATGTATCGAATATGGTCAGATTTCGTGACAAGCTGCAATCATGCTATTGATTTACTTAAATGTGTTTCACTGTTCCATCGATAGGTTTGGCACAAGTTAAATATTTGGGAAACGTTCGACTTGTCCGTTAAAGGCAGGGATAACGATATGCTTTATATTTGCATAACAATTGCTTATTATCCTGATATTGGTGACATCGTCAACAGGTAACCGTAGTCCTATCGGGCGATCTCTAATTACAATCTTTGTACCGTTTATATCCATCGACTTTCGCATTATTATCTCATTTATCGACGTTTAAAACGAAAACGCCAATGGTAATGCATTATTATAAAGTTTTAATGAATTTTTAGCATGATTTTTTAAAGTAGAAGAAGAGAAAAATTGACTTTTACTGAAGATTTTAAAACGTTATCCGTAGGAGTCTTGTAAGCAAGTTTACGATTTGAAAATAACCTTTCTCCACGAGTTTTTGAATGTTTTTAAATCTCGTCTTTGAATGGAGAAAAAGTGAAAATAATAATAATGATAATAAAAAAAGAATAAATGACATTTGCACGAACGAATGTGATCAAAAATGCAGGACTGTCTTTGCGCGTTATGAAATGAAACTCAATACAACCTAAGAGAACCAGTCTAAGTTTAGCATTCAGGGACCAACAAGGAATCGTTTCGTTTTCCGGTGACAATATGCAGGTCACAAAAATCAATATGCACTGCGTCAACGTAGAGAATGTGAATTTCCATTTGTGATTTGTTATGCTGGCTCGTCTTCCAGGGATGGAGAAAAACCCTCACATAAATGCACGCGTATTATAAAGACGTCTTTTCCCTTCTTTTTCGTTTCTATTTCATTGCTATTAAAATATACAAAGCAGAATGTCTGCTTTAGCAAGCGGCGCACACAACAACCGCACTGTGAAAGAATATTTAAAGTTTAGAATCGTTTGTTGAAAGACAATAGATGATATATTAAAAATAAGGAATTCAGACTACGGGAGCTTTACTTACCCAAATCCTTGTCCATAATACTGGCTGAAAGGATATTGCATTCCTTGAACAAATTGCCCTTGTATTTGAGGATAACTCTGCGGATACCAGTATCCCATTTGTTGGTATGGATAGGTATACTGAGCCGCTATATTCTGTAAACACAAACAAAATTTTAAACGACTTTAAAATTAACATATTTTGCAATGGAGGAGGCAAAAAAAAAAAGAAAAATTAGATCCATACATCTACCTGTTGTTGCTGTTGATTGTTTGGATCACCCGATTCTTTACCCCACGAGCACTTGACTGTCTGACCAATGATATCTGTATTGTGAGTGGCGACAATGGCGTGAGTGGCTGCTTCTTTGGTAGAGAACCTAAAACGATAACGTTCGAATCAAAAATCAACACAAGTTAAAACTTCGTTCGAACGACACACAATGAAGAAAGGATGGGAAAGTGTGGTCTCTTCGTTCATTTATCGACTGACTCGGTTGTCATACAAGCCACTCTGGACTTGTCAAGACTTAAAATATTACCCAATATCTTTCGTTGGCTGTGTGTATTTACTCACAGCAACAGATTGGCTGCAGTTGATTCTTTTGTACTTCAACTAAGAAGGTTACATCAAGCCAACTGACAGGTAATTTCAAAAATGTGGCGAACGGTTGATTATCGTAACTCGTTTTTTTTTTCTTCCCCCCCTCTCGGAACAGGTAAGAAGCGTGCATTGGAAAAACTGCCTTAGATTATTATATCTTTCCATTGATTTGATGCATATAGCTCTTTCTTGGTAATCGAAATTTGCTGGTTAACCATTCGCTATACAAATACATCAAGAAACCGATAAAAAAAAATGCATTAAAAATTACTTTTGAAAATTTATTAAGCTTTCATCCAATAAATAATAAGTTACGTCTAAAGAAAATATGTTAACGATAAATTCTGATATAAGATATTACATCAAATTCGATCGAACATCGAACTTTTAAAGTTCGAAAAATGAACATTTCCAACATTAACACGACAAATCGCGAGCTCGTTTTATCATAATGGCATAATAACGTGTATTTTGGCAATTAACAAAGCCCCTACGATGCATTATCTGAAGGTATGAAATTATTCAAAAATTTATTTGACCGTGAATAAACCTGTTAACTAGTCACTCGAATACACGAAATTTAAAAAGAAGTATACGCCACAAAACATTTCTTCGCTCCTACAGTTTAATAATTAAGCAAAATTTCTTAATTTTATCAACACTCGTGAATAAATTACAGTTTAATTTAAGTATATTTTTATAATATTTTTACTAAAAAATCCAAAAGAAACTATTGTTTTGCCATTTAAGATGTCGATTAATTTTCAAATATTTTCATTTTTCTATTCATCTAAGGAGAAGCCGAATTTTCAGGGGTTGGTAATATAAATCAAACGGTAATTCGATAGTTAAATAAGTTTACTAAGGAAATTTTTAGTCAAATGACAGCGAAATCCTAGATTGAGAAGTCGAGTAATTGAAGCAAACAATTATTTAGAAGAGGACAAAAGTTGACATCAGACTCTTATAGGATTTATCAAACGAAAATATCCGCATCGAGTCTTAATAACGGGTTTAACTGTTAGAGAAACATCGGCAGGAAATAATCGCTAACACAAACTAAGTTTCATATCGTTAGTCCGCCTTCGGTCGAGCCCTTTGAACTCTAGATAAGTTACGCCCTTCATTAAATAGAATTATTGCCGATAGAGTAGAGGATTTATGCGTTATAGCATTAAATTTATTTCTGTAAACGCAGTTGTCTATTCGATCAATAGAATGGAAGTTGAACAAGTGGTGCCCAACAAAGCGGCATTTGGGTCATAGAAAGACATAACCGATGGTATTGCCGCGAAAATTAGTTCAGACTTTTACACAGGCCAACGTTCCTTTCCGCCTGGCGAACACACAAACACACACAGTCGATATACGTTCTTCCCTCCTTTTGTGGTTCTGGTTGCTGTATTGACGAACGTCGTCAAAATTCATGACTTCGGCTTTAAACCCCGCCAGGCATGCATTGGGGTGGATAGCAAAGCAGATGTTCCTAATCCTCTCTTAATAGAAAAATATTTCAAAATGTTTATTCAGCAAATGGATTAACACGGCAAATTAATGCAAGTGCATGCAGTCGACATTTACAACGGAAATTGATTCGCACAGAAAAATAACCGGGGAAAAAAATATATGAAGAAGAAGAAGAAGAAGAAGAAGAATTGGCAGCGAAAGCGCCGAAGGGGAATTGACTACAAATCTTTTATCGAAATCGCTAAAGTATAACCAGGGTAATGAGGACGTCCATTCGATTTTATCTGGTAGAGTCAGCCAAATTAAAATGGAAGATACGTTTAAAATGATAATCAAGAAAATGCAGCAATTCATAACTATCGAGATACCGTCTATCATACGGCACGATCTAACATAGTCAATATTAGTCGACACGTTACCCTCCGAGACGGTTTAAGAGATAATTGTTTGCAGCTGTGCGCTTTCATTTCCATGTCTGATGTAAGTCTAATTAAATAACAGAGAGTTTGCTTTCGCCATTAACTTTATACATGTAATTTATACGTAATAGTAACCTTATATCGAAGTTTTATACCACTAAAGATAAAAATTAATAATCGATTTGTACGATAAAGAATGTCGACCTAAAATGTAATCAATGTTGAATTACTGGAAATTAAAAAATAAGAAAAAAAGTTACTCCTTTATGCGTTTTTACGGTCTGTTGTGGTTCGGTTTCTTCTGTAAAATTAAATCGATACTTCTTATTATATAAAATAGATTTAATCATTATTCATTATTAAAAATAGCACTTCTTTTTTTAGCCTGTAGGCCTGCTTCCCAGCATTAAAAGAATCTCACTCTTCCCCAACAATATAGAAATTTTGGATTTTTCATTTATATCAGCATCTCTCCCTTTAAAAAAAATCTTAAAGACGTTAATTTGTTAAATTTATTGTTAAAAATAAATTTAACAAAGTAATTCTTTGCATCTATGTTTCAATAGAGCATATAAACACATCAATGAAAATTTGGCATCTCAAAGACTTTGATGCAGAAACTTTCTTAAATACTATACTGCATATATTTAATATANCAAATCTAATAAAAATTTAAATACTCAAAAATTATACCTAATTGCTCGCATTTGAGCAAACCGAAATCTATAATTTAAATTAAATTAAACCTTTTTTTTATGTAAACACATTAAAACAGCATTCGAATCACTCAGTTTAATTGATTCTGTACATAAAATATTTAGTTAAAAATGCGAATAGAGACGAGATAACATAGATTTATTTATGGATAACGTGAATGGAAACGAAGAATCTCACGACCCAATAAAATTTTGCATGAGTTGTGATTATTTAAAATAAGACTTTGAGTAAGAAAAAAATCATTTTCTCTCAATGTTTCCATTGCAAACAGGCATATTTATATTTTCCTCTTAAGCCGGATACTCAGGTACTGTACAGTACCTGTGTACCCGGCTTGTACCGGTATACCTGAACGTGTTGATGACAGAACTGTCAGTTTTCTCGTGTACTACACCTTCAAATATACCGGTACGTGTGTACCCAGTTTATTTAGTATGATTTAGAATTTATTATGCTCGATTCCCGGCATGTTCATAAGAAAATGGAGATGGAATTTTAAAGAAATATCATTAATTCTAATAGAAAAAAACCAATCAAATATGACACTTTGTGATATAGGAATAATCTTAAACAAATCTTTATATTTATTCGTTTAAGCAGGACAGTCAAACCATCTTAACGAATGTAAATTTACCGTTAATATAATTACCGAATTATCTCTTTTAGCTTTCTTCAACAGCCGAGTTCTAAATATGTAATTTCACAGAATATTCCCAGTCAAAAGTTATTTATGTAAATCATTATAATTTATTACTTCTTCCTCTCATTTTATAATATTTGAAATCGTTACGAAGTCTTTATTCGTCTTCATACTTATTTAACAGTAGTGTCATTTTAGAAACGGAATTTTAAATCGTTTTTTATTTTATGCAACGTAATATTTTATTAAATTCCGTCCAATTTATTTTTAAATCTTTCATCATATTTGCAAAATATACTAAACGTTATAACTTAAGATTTAAATTGGTTAGAAAACAAAAGGAAATTTAAGAAACAGAGCTTAAAAAGATTACGCTATTATATATAAAGAATCATTTATATCAACATCAGGTTTAAGTATTGTTTATCAAAAATAATATATAAAATATACAGGCTTATATATGGGAGGGTGCAAAAGTAGGTACTATTTACGGTTGTGAATCTGAGAAATACAGATGTTTAGTGTCCATTTTTATTGTTTTTATCTCTTATTATTTCATCATATTCCTTATTTGTCATTTAATTTATGTATAAAAATGTTTTTTCTTCTGTTTTTTTCATAACAACGACTGTATACTTACTTTCGTGCTTCCCTTGTATATATATATATGAAAATGGGCTATAAGAAAAAAAATATATAAAATAATAATTTTTATATAAAAACGTAAATATAAATATTAGATTTTATATGTATAAAATCTAAATTTTAAACGGAAAATCTCGGGTGTAACGTTTTAAAAATAGTGTGTATAGGCTATAGTATCAATTACAAGAAAGTAAAAGATAATCAAAGAAAAATACAATAACGGTAATTATAAAATAAAATTGATAGGATAGATTGAAAAAAAAACTTATTGAATAATTTTTTTCGATTAGCGAAAAACCAGTCAACCTCTAATGAACGATTGCTGCTTCCGTCTTAAGCGGTGTATGATAGATGAGGATAAATATTTTTTCTCTAATTTAATCATTTTCTCTAGAATTTCTAACGAATATAATCGCAAACTTCTCTTTCTTTTTTTTACACAGTTTTTTTTAAACCAAATAAATTATTATTATTATTATTTATTATATTTTTTACTTTATATTAAAGCTACTTTCAAAATATATATTTATCTTTAAAACAGAAAAAGAATTTCAGTCAATCTTCTCACAGATTAACAATGCTCTACAAATATTTATAATAATAAAAAAATAAGCTTATTTAGATATTTCGTGCAACTTATTTGTGAACATTTTGTACGAATCGACTTGTCTATTTTCATTTTTCTATTCATCTAAGGAGAAGCCGAATTTTCAGGGGTTGGTAATATAAATCAAACGGTAATTCGATAGTTAAATAAGTTTACTAAGGAAATTTTTAGTCAAATGACAGCGAAATCCTAGATTGAGAAGTCGAGTAATTGAAGCAAACAATTATTTAGAAGAGGACAAAAGTTGACATCAGACTCTTATAGGATTTATCAAACGAAAATATCCGCATCGAGTCTTAATAACGGGTTTAACTGTTAGAGAAACATCGGCAGGAAATAATCGCTAACACAAACTAAGTTTCATATCGTTAGTCCGCCTTCGGTCGAGCCCTTTGAACTCTAGATAAGTTACGCCCTTCATTAAATAGAATTATTGCCGATAGAGTAGAGGATTTATGCGTTATAGCATTAAATTTATTTCTGTAAACGCAGTTGTCTATTCGATCAATAGAATGGAAGTTGAACAAGTGGTGCCCAACAAAGCGGCATTTGGGTCATAGAAAGACATAACCGATGGTATTGCCGCGAAAATTAGTTCAGACTTTTACACAGGCCAACGTTCCTTTCCGCCTGGCGAACACACAAACACACACAGTCGATATACGTTCTTCCCTCCTTTTGTGGTTCTGGTTGCTGTATTGACGAACGTCGTCAAAATTCATGACTTCGGCTTTAAACCCCGCCAGGCATGCATTGGGGTGGATAGCAAAGCAGATGTTCCTAATCCTCTCTTAATAGAAAAATATTTCAAAATGTTTATTCAGCAAATGGATTAACACGGCAAATTAATGCAAGTGCATGCAGTCGACATTTACAACGGAAANCATTCATTACATTTTTATCATAATATTTATTTTAAAAATAAAATTACTATTAGAAAAAATAGCTAAGATAATTTTGAAATTTTAAATCCATTTTCTCTACTCTAAGAAATGCAGATATTTACATTTAGCCTTTGAAAATTGATTTAATCAGATATTAAGTGAATATGTAATGACTAAATGTAAACAATTTTGTAGACAACACAAATTATAGTGTATAAAAACCAGCAATATCATCATATTGTTACAGCCATAAAACTTAATCTTTAAAATTACAGAACAGACAGGAATTTTCTGCATTTATACATAAGCTTTAGCTGTATGGTTAGTGTCACAATAAGTGAGGTCTCCAGTTTCATTTGACTCTGTTGAGCTTCTGTGTATTCTTGCTGTTTTTAATTTGTCTGATGCAGTACCATGAGAAACGATGTGCTGCCTATTAGCAGATTACAAGAATTTTCTGGAATTCTTACTTATCCTTGTGTTCATTAAGTGGAGCATGCAAATATTACAGTAATCTGATGTTGTGAATGTGGTTCTTAGTAGACTGAAATGTGAGCAATTTCATTGTTTCATGAAAGTTTGGCATTCAAGTTTATTCAATGGCAGTTTCCTGTTTTTTTTTTTCATTATCAGAACAATATTCCGAGACAGCTTACGTTAGTCTCCATTAATCAAGTCCAGACCTGACACACCACAGAACTAATTAGGCCTGTGTTCCACTAAATGATAAAACTCCTTGAATGCTAATCAAGAATGAAAATGGAAATTTGTTTGATGAAGGCAACAGGGAAATTATGGAATTTTAATCACTTAATACACTTGATGCACAGTTTCGAATGTTATTAGAGCTTTCAAAGTGACTTTCCATATGGCAATACTTTTCTGATTTCAATTTTAAAGGATTGGTCTTTGGAATTCCCTTTATATCAAATAAAATTAAAAGTAAATTTTCTAATTCCAGAGATTAAATTTGTTAAATTGGAATTAGTTTTTATATATCACTTTGTACAAATTTTATTTATTTAAATATTTCATATATTATTATTCAAAATTTAATAAATGATAATAACAAGATAAAAATATTTTAATTTATTTACTATCATTTTGAGTTCTGTTAGCTGGAGGTTTTCGTGTTGCCCAATTAGTTCGGATAGCACGACTTCCAAGCCATTGACCATTCATTGTACTTATTGCAGTTTCTGCATCCTAAAATTAAAAGAAAAAAATTATCAAGAATTACTGAAATAAAAATTTTAAAGCAATTCTGATTATAATAATGATTAAAAAAACAATATTATCTCATGTAAAATAGATAAATTTTATATTTATCTCTACACTAATTTCTTTCAGTTATTTTTACTAGTTTTAAAGAGACATATTGTGTTAATTTAATTTTAAAAAATTATACATTTTTGAGATTCTAACTGTAAATAGTTTAGTGTTGAATGTGTTACATGATCATATACTGTACCTGTGATAAAAGATAAATACAATTCACTTAAAGTGATATTATGAAAAAAATTCCTCTAATTAACATACTATGCAGCTACATACAAAAATGGAGTGCTATCATAGATTAACTTAATCTAGTTGTCTAGACAAGAAGATAATCAATTATTCCATTGAATAGTAGTTCTTTGACTAGATAGATTGTTGGCATCAAATTAAAGTTGACATCAATGTTCAGTGAAGTGTAGACTAAAGATAGTGAGAATGTATCCTTATTCAATTGAAAAACTGCTAATGATTAGTTTATTATTTTATTAATCAACCACAAATTTATCCAATAGTTAATTGCAATTTAGCCTTATTAATTATCAAATTTTCATGTTATCTTGCATTCTACATTCAGTTCAAAGGAAAATGCAAGCTTGAATGAACTAAATGATTCTATTTCCAGAGAATGCACAGATTATTTTCTAAATTCTCTAAGGTAAGACAGTATTTAAAAGGAAATTCCCATGTTAAACAGCTTTAATTCACTTTATCTTTTGCTTTTATAATGTGTCTACAGAAACAGACTTCTTTACTCTTTATTCTTATAAGTTTGCTACTTTTCACACTTTATAACTCCATTGAGGAATTTACTGAAATTGTTTCTATTGACTCAATTCAATTAAATGCTTCTGCCATGTGAAAGATGAAATAGAATTAGATAGTACTAGTTGTTATATGATGTTAAAAACACAGTCAATAATTTTAAATGGCATTCTCCTTCATTAGGCATGCATAATATTGTTAGCAACAGCTTTGAAATTCTACTTTAACAATATGGATAGAAAGGCATCCCAGTGGAATTTAGAGAATGGCAAGATGCTATTATTCTTTATGTTGATTGCAGTAGTTGGATGTCCTATCTCGTAATTACAGACACAATAAAAATCAATAAAAGCTCTTAGGATCATTGTTTACTTGGAAGCAGATACAAAAGATCTTCAAATAATTCCAAAAAAATATATGAATTGTGGCACATTCTTTTTATTTCTAGATTTATTTAGATAGTATTTAATTTATATACCTATATAGTGATATTTATTTATTTTATTTTTTAAAATCTTATTGCTCAAATCATGATCAAGTAATCAGTATTCACTTATTTCTCTTGAATGGATAAGAGAAACAATCTATTGATGTTATCTTAAGCATAGAACTATAAATTATTATTCTTTTTCCCCTCTCCCTTTTCTTTTATTCCTCCTTAATTCAAGTATCTCTTAAGATTACTATAAAAACATTTGTAATCAGAGAGAGCCAAACAATTACGTTGATGTACATGTATTTTTTTAAACTTTATTTTATCAATTGTAGATGTTTATAATTTTATTTGATTATAAATTCAAGATTTAACAACTTAAAAGAATTTTTTAATAATGAAATCAAATCATTTAATTTTAACAATGATTATTAATTTTGTATTAAATAAAATGCTAATGATAACATATTTACTGTAATAAAATACTAAAAATAAAATAATAAATTATAAATTTAAAAAAAGAAACATAAATATATATAAATTATTATGAGAAGTCATACTGATTTATTCAATATAGATAAATTGTGCATAATTCACCAATAACAATATATTATACTTCCAATATTACTATATAGAATGCATATAAAAACAAAATTCTCAATGATGAGTAGCTTGTCTTTGATGGCTACTTTGCTCAACCTTGCATGTCTTTGAATCATCATTCAGAGATGTTTCAGTTAAGTGTTTGCAGCCGGTCATAGTCAATTCTTGAAAGAACTAAGTGATGATGTAAAATCTCAGCAAGAATTCCCTCTTTTTTTTACAATTCTCATGAAAGTATGCTAATCGGACTACATATTCTAACCATTCATGACTTGATGGAATGGTAGGAGGAGGAGATAATAAAGTGGGAAGGGAAAGAATAATGGGGTACAAACTGGTGGGAAGAAACCTGTCCAGTGGGCCATCTGGGTTTATGGCAACTGCAGACTGTTCAACTTTCTGACCACTTCTCATTCATCATTGCAAACACAGTATGGTGCAGTTCCCAAATCTGAAATTGCCTACCAGTGGTTTGATAATAGTTAAAAGACAACACAAATTTATCTAATATGTAACTTTTTATTCTATTTGAAATATTTTCATCACACTTAAATAATTTTTAAAAGTAGACTTTTTTCTTATTTATAAATGTTTTTATTATGACAGTTTGTGATTTTATAACACATTTTAAAAACATTAAACTATGTCTAACATTATCAAGGACAAATACATGCAAGCTGGACTATAAAAGTAATGAATGTAGCTGTTAAAATTGCACGCATCATCCAATGTAGAGACACCCCATCAACAAACCCTACAGCGAATCACTATTAACCTGATGCCGACAAGTGATGAGCATACCAAATAACATCTCGAGGGATTCAGTGTTTTCATAACTATCGTACAATATACTCATCCCATTGTAGAGTTGTGGCTCTCTTGAGTTGTGTTACATCCCTGTGGCATTCTATTTTTGTCTGCTGTTCTGTCACATATATTATATGGCAGCTGACAGTCCTTTTTCTGCTTGTCTACAACAGTGTGATTACTATGTCAGTTGTCACGGGACCAAGGGGAGGAGTCAGTTTACTGTGCTATCAAGACTAGAAAATTATTAAAATTGGAGTATTATAATAGAAATATGTTAGATGTGGACATAACAAAGAAAAGGGAGAAAGAATAATCTCAGAATTAAATTGAAGAATTAATGATGAGATAATTAAGTATTAAGAATATAAATTTGATAATGATAATTATTTCAATAAAATAAAAACTTTTCTGTAAATAAATGAATTAAAAGTTTATTGATTCACCAACAAATTCATATGTGATCAGAAATAAATTATTATGAAATAATTATTACATTTAATTAAATCTTTGAATTTATTCAACTGTTTAATTTTCAGTTTTCTTAATTGTGACATCAATATATCAACTATTTATTTTCTTAATTAATATACACTATAACTGTCATCAAAATGTATAAATTTATAATTAAAACCTATTAATTTCTTACTACATTAATTCAATTTAATCAGTTAAAATTTATAAGAATATATTTTTAATTAAAGTTTAATTAACAGTTGAAAGAATTTATTTTATGCGATAAATTTGAGACTCTTACCGCTTTTTTAACAAAGGACACAAACCCATATCCTTTCGATTTGAGGGTTTGTGGATCTCTCACTACTCGACAATCTCTGAAAAATATAAAATAAAAAAAGAAAAAAAAAACATTATATGTAAGAATATTCATAAACTGTTAGCTTCTGTAGAAGAAATGTAAAATAGAAGAAACAAATATGTATTAATATATACAGAAGTATAAAATATAAGAAAAGTTATTTTAAAAACATGGTTTTTGTAATTATTCATGTAGCCTATTGAAGAATATTGAATATATTCCATATCTAGAAAACCATCTCCATTTGTAAGTAAAGTGCTTTCCAATAATATAAATATTTAGTTACATATTTACTTAGAAGATTAGTAGTGAAATGTTGATGAAGTATTAATAAAGATCATTTAGGTAGTCGATATGTATTAAGAGGTTACATTATTCTTTGATTCTTATCATATTTTAACAGAAATATCATTCCAGGACATACATTATTCTGAAAATTTACTAAATATGGAAAACATTTATCAAATTTGGAAGACATTTATATGTAACTGAATGAAGAAGGAAGGAAAAAAAAAAGAAAAAAATTAATATAAAAAATTAATATTAGTGTTATAATGAACTTTACTAATCTGATTTGCTAATATATAACAGGTCTACAGACTAGCAAAATAATGAAGATAACACAACTGTAATGTTGGGCAGTGTTACCAGTTCCTGGCAAATGTTCTCATTTGTCATGGGGAGTGGTTCAGGTAGACCTATTCATTGATCGCATCTAGTTAATCTATACCTATGATATAACATTAATCAAGGAAGGCAGGTTTCCTCCCTGCACTTTCCAACTCTGGGGGTGGAAGTTATTAAGAGCTAGTCAGTCAACTAACAATACATGAGCTAATGAATGATCTGTAGCGACACTATCACTCAAGTAGATTGCTACTCTTGGGGCACACGTGACACTCACAATGATGATGACAAGAAAGAAAGCTTACTGTTAAATCTAAGCCAAACATTTTTCCTATTCAAATGAACATAGCAATGATCATGACTATGTAATAACTAAGTGTTATGATTTGTTTAAGCATTATTTATTAAAGAATGTTTATAGTAACATAAATAATTTTAAACATCAATTCATACATTCTGACTAAAAATTTCAATTTTCACTGACAATTTATATTATTATATGTTTTTAATTGAAATAAATTATAGAAAAACATCTCAAAAGTAGAAATATTTTTAATATTTTCACTGACTAATTTCATTTTTAATGTATAAATAAATTGTTTTCGGTTTATATTTTATAAATTAATTATTTTAAACATATAAAAAATAATTCAAAATTATTCCTTTAGAATTTATTTAATTAAACTGGTCCTTAATTGTCAATGAAATAACATTTTGACAACGAAAGAAGTGAATAACATTGACGAAATATAAATGAATCTAATCGAAAATGATAAGTTCCTATATCAATTTATAACTTTTAAATATATTTATATATAACAGTGGGTAGTACAGGAAAGAATTTAATGCTAGAATTCCGCTCTATGTTAATCACGTAGAGACTCACTGTATTCTGCTTCCCCAACAGTGTTCCTCTGTCTTGCAGGGAAGCTGACCACGCCCGGAGAAAACTCTACGAGGTGACCTCAGGAATTGATCGATAACCATTGCTACTTGCCCCACCCAAACTATGAGACACCCCATTGACCCGAAATTGCTTCCGTGTCCTTTCACTTATATTTCCTTTATAGATTACGATAACTTATCGATTTTATTCATAGTAAATAAATCGATTCTTCATTTAAAAGTTGGCTCATTCAACGGAGGAACTTTCAATTACTAGAACTTTATAGAGCCGAATTTAATACAATTTACAAAGTTTCCTCTCGTAGATTATATATATATATAAAGGTCTAGAATTTCTCGAGATAACTTAATTAACACTTAAAAATAATATCAATTAAAACTTAAAAAGGATGCTTAATATAATTTACTCTACTTTTAAATATATTTAATGTTAATTTTTTTATATTAAAAAGAAAGATTAGTTTTAACTAAATTAAATAACTCGCACCAGTGCACCATTCGAAATATTCACAGAAATGTTTTAGTAGTTCAATAAAATCATTTATTAATCTTATCCAGGACATATAATAAAAATTCAATTAAATAAGAGAAATAAAAAGTTTCCATATCAGTAGAAATCCTCCCTTTTTTTTTATTAAATTATACTTGAAAAAGTGGTAAAATAAAATAAAAATATATCGACTACCTTTATATAGTTTTTTTTTTTTAAAATACAACTGTTCAACGGTTTATAATTTTAAATAACTCTGCACGAATTTACACACTCCTTGTACCGTTTGACACTATTTTAACATTACAATCTGCAATATATTTTTTTAAAATTTTAAAGTATAAATTTAAATAAACCATAATTAGAATTATTTTATATTAAATCCCTAATAATTCTAATTCCTTATTAATTTAGATTTAGGTTAAGTTTTGATTTGTAAGAAAGAGTTAGGAAATTAGTTTATGTGACCGGAAGTGATTGATCTTTTCGTGTGTGAGGCTGAAAAATCTTCATTTCCATTGACTCTTCCTGTTCTCGAGTCAATTCGAATTTACTTCCCGTCTATCAAACACCATAGAAGCGGCTTAAAATTCAATAAAACTATTTTAAAAATTAATTTAAAAATTCAAGATATGAATACACAACAAAAAAATCGATTAAGTTAGTAAAAAAATTATTAAAAATGGGCTTTAAATGAAGAAAATATTTAAAAATTTAAGCGCGGTAGTGTTTAACTTCGGATGTATTATTTGTTTTTTCCTATTTTAAATAATAAATCGATATAAAAATATATTTTAAATAACGAATGAAAACTTAAACATATTCTTTATTTAAATAATAACCGTGGTTGAGCCATTTATTGATGACAAATTAATGAAATTATAACCTAGCAACGAGTTCTGTTAAAGCGGTTGCCCGCCGATGTACTAGAATAATGCGGTTAGTCCAATGTCAACAAGTAGTGGTTTGGATATTGTCATCGAGCTGCATCACTAGCTTTCGTTTTCTTTTTACAGTTATTTTAATTAGATATTAAAACGTTCCTCATAAAAATCAATTATATCTCTTCTTTATCTCTTTTTCTCTCATGTATATATATGCCTATATATAGATAGGCAAGAAGACAGAAACTAATTATATCATTACTAATAACTTTAGTTAATTTGTGATGAAACTGTCTGGATATTCTTCTATAAAAATATTTAATGTATTAAGAAAATTCTAATCATGTTTTTAATAGATTCCTGACACGTTTATAGACACAAACATATTACATTTTAGAAGGGAGGAAAGAAAATTATATTAAAATAATAATAATAATAATAAAAGGAAAAGACAAGACTGAATATCCATCAATAAACAATCTACTCTAAACTTTTCTTAGCCATAATAACTTTACGTACAAGTTCTGAAGTAAGAAATGTAGTCTAATGCAACCGGCATCCTCTATTTAACGAATTTTAAAAAGAACGAAACAGAAAACACGTGATAAACGATTACAAACGTTATATTATCCTTTTAACAATTATTTTACATTCATTTTTATGTTTTAAATCATATAAACACAATAGTTTTATTAGCATTATTTCGAAATCCCCCCGGAAACTACGACAATTCCGTACACCCTCTCTCTCCCTACTAAGTTCGACTGCATCTATTTTCTTACATATAAAAAGCGGGTTTTTATACAAAATAAAATTATTTTTTAGTATTAATTTTCACTAAAAGTGGTAGAATTTAAATATATATTGCATCGTAATTATTTAGTTTTTATGCAATTTTTTATGGAAAAAAAAAATCCATGTTATTATTAGTCAGATGATACTTTTATTCGTTTCATATTCAAAATCAACACGGAAAAAACTGGCATTTCTTCAAGAATTTCTTTAGAAGTTAGTAGATATTTGGATATTTTCACTATATTCGATTTCCTTCCAGCTAAGAATTTTTTCTCAGTTTACTTTCCGATCATCTCTCAGAGTGGTTATTCTATTTGCAAAGATCTTTACAACCGGATTTAAATTTATATTCTAGTTCAAATTGCAGGCTTAAAATCGCACTTGATCTTACTTCTATTTAGCGTTATTTTCTTTTTTTTATTGGTTTATTTTTCTTCGTAAAGAAAAGAAAAATAATTGAATAAAATTGAAACGAAATTTGTATTCCTATAAATCAAGGAATTTAAATTTTTCAATCGATTTTATTTCTTATTTTTAGGAATGATTCTAAAAATATTCTCAATACAGATTGTTTCATTAATATAATTTCTTGGAATTAGATTAATTCCGTCGCTTCTGATTAAAATTTATTACGATATTACCGGAGGAAAATTATGTAGATAATTGAATGACATAATTATGAGAAAATTTGTGTAACTTTTATAAAATATTCATCCTTGAATCTAATCTGCAAAAAGAATCAAAATGAGATTATATCTTACAATTCTCTTTCTCTAACCACCAATTACAAAGTATATATACACACTCTTCGAGAATAAAGGAGAGTTTAAATTCAAAATTTTATCATTATTTTTGGCTTTAAAAAAAACTCTAATTTTTACTCTCCGAGTTAAAAATATTTCGATATTTTCTCAGTAGAAAGGTAAAACGAAAGCAAAGATCAGACGTAAAACCTCGACATAGCGCTTTGTTAAACAGAAAGTGCTATCTCGGGGTAGTATTATCGTTTCCAGGATCAAAAGTTTAATGAAAACTGAACCCCTTTCATTAATAACGATAAGGCCCTTCTGTAAAAAAGTAAGTTAAAAAAAACAATATTAATTTTTTCCACTAAAACCAGTTCATCCCCTTAACTTAGTTTAGAATGAAAATAAAGAAAAAAGTAATAATAAATGAACCTCGTTTGAACTTTCTTAATTATCGAATCATAAAAATTTTCTCTTAAACTCTCTAGGGCCCCGGAGGCCCTCCTTAATGGTTAAGTGCGAAGGACTAATAAATCCGCCATAAAAAATATAATTTTCAATCAAGAGA